ACACACACACACACACACACACACACACACACACACACACACACACATACACATACACACACACACACACACACACACAGCACTCTGTCCTTAAAGGTAAATTCCACAATAAACTAAAATCACTGCTGCTGTTAAATGAAAACTAAAGAAAAAACACTTCTATGACATTTACACTACTGACCTTTGACCCCACCACTATCAGATAAAACTCTACTGAATTACCAGAATATGTGTTCATCCTGATATAAACTATGTGGAATGATCTTTATCCACCAAACCAGCTCGTGAAACATTGAGGAACACTGAAGATGAAACTAGATTCACTTGATGCTTCTTGGAGTCCTTTAGAGTTTGAGATTAGAAGAATAATCTGGTTTTTAAATACTGTGAACATAAAACATGTTTATGAATGAAACGTTTCTTGTTTTCCATTTATTTTCCAACCCCAGCAGTTCACCACCTGAAAACCTCCAAACACCAAACACGAGAGTTCTTCATCAAACTCAATCTCCAGAAGCCAAAAACAGCCAATGTGAGCCTTGAACCATCACATCACTTCATCCATGAACCCAACATGTTCAACATCAAACCAGGTCTCAGCAGGTAAACCAGGTCTCGTTCGCGCATTTACGCACCAACATAAAAGAAACGGCTCTTCTTACCTCGCGGGTTGTGGATCTTCACCAGAACCTCAGTGGGCTCCGGCAGGCCGCGCGCCAGGTACAGACGCCCCGAATCCCGCTCGATCTGGACCGGCGAGTCCGCCTCGGATATCACTTCGAACCACCGCTGCTCGAACTTCTGGTCCGGCACCGTGAACACCAGGTCCCCGACTCTGACGTGGTCCGGGACGGTCACGGTGTAGGTCAGCTCCTCGGTCAGAGCCCGGGGTCTCCGCCGCCGCAGCGCACTGCTGGAGCTGCGGACGTTGACGCGCAGGAACACCGGCTCACCAACCAGCGCCACGTCTCCGCCGTCGCGCGCGTAAAGGCGCAGAGTCACCCGGCTGACACCCAGGAGGGACCCGATCAGCCTCACCTGTCCGGTCTGTGGGACCACGTGGAGCAGGTGAGACTCCGGTGACGCAAAAAAAGTGACGCGTCCGTTCATCTCTGCGTCTCCGTCCTTCGCGTCAAAGCGGCCCAGCTCGGTGCCGAGCAGCGTCAGCTCGTCCGCTTCGACCGTCTGGTTCCCGCAGCTGAACCGGGGGGCGTTGTCGTTCCTGTCCGACACTTCGACCTGGACGGCGGCCGGTCTCCTCAGACATCGCGGCGGCAGCTCCACCGTCAGCTCGTACATCGCTATGAACTCCCGGTCCAGAGCTTTGGCGGAGACCAAACCCAGATGCCCCCGGTGGTGCCGGTCCCCGTGGTGGTGAATGAGCCTGAAATCCGATGCGTAATCCCCCATCAGGCTGGCATTAAGGTCCGCACCGGGGCAGCCGCCAGCTCCGACCGGTAGCAGCACCCCCTCCACCGGCGTCCCGGCCGGGGAGTTCTCCGCTATTTGTCCGTAGTAGTGCGCTGGATGTCCGGGCGGGGCGGACGGACACACCGGGGAGGCATGAAGCAGCAGCAGATGGAGCAGGTGGAAGAGGAGGCGGTGCAGGAGAACCGGTCCGGTTGCAGCTTTGGTCATGTTTCCATCAAACCCGTTTCAGTTGGAGAAGACAGCAACAGGAGCGGATCCGTCTCTAACGAGGATTCTATTTAAAGGATTTTACGCGTTAAAAATACAATTAGCAGGAAAGCTCCGTGATGTATGAATAATATCTCTGATGAAGTCCTAAGTCCGTTTGGTGCGTGAAGAGAAGAGCGTTCAGTCATTCCAGTGATTCCTCTCCAGGTCATTCAGAATTCAAAAAGACTTTTACGCACAAGTGAGAGAACAACAACAATAATAATCAGTCTTTTCTCCTCCGTTGCACTGGTAAAAAATTATATAAGTGATATTAAAATATCATATTTTTCTCAGCAGTTGAGCCCCAATATTTTTTGCACCAACTTCCTCCAGCGTGTTCCGGAGCGACTCCACCGGAGGATGGATCAGACTGACGGGCACCGAGACACCCAGCAGACTCCATGTGGCTCCGCGGGCTCCACCCACCGCGGAGGAGAGAGACCAATCACGTAGCGGGGACCGGGTCTGAGTGACAGGGTTTAAAGACCCGCCCACTGACATGCTGAGTCAGCTGATGGGGGGGCGAGAGAGAGAGAGCGAGAGAGAGAGAATTATCTCTTTAAGAAAATGTTACACAGTTGTGACTTCTTTGTATTTTATTAACTTTTTAAACAGTAAAATCTATTTAATAAATTAAATGTATTTATTTATTTGTACACATTTCCGTTTAGATCTTTAATTATTCTAAATACAATTTTGTTTTTTTATTTTGCAAATAAAACCATGGCAACCAAAAGAAAAACAGAACACGTGGTCACTTCCTCCTGAGATGTAAAAATGAGTCCAATGAGCTCTGAAATCACACACACACACACACACACACACACACACACACACACACACACACGCAGCGTCAATGCCAATAAAAAAACTCATTGAATTGAAAGAAATGCATTTTTATTTCGTGCACGAGAGCGCGTCCCACTCGTTAGCTCACGGCCCTCGCTCTGCACTGCTCTCGTACGGCGGTTACAGCTGATGACGCCTCAGTTTGACGCTGTGGTTAGCACTGTTAGCATCGTTAGCAACGGGCCGCCAGCTTAGGAGTCGCCATGTTGAGAGCCGTTACGAGGCAATCAAAAACGCTCCCAATCTCGTATTATGCACCTTTACATTTTGACACTAACCAGATGCCAAAAGTCGTTACATTAAATCGCCGCCTGTGTCTCGCATTAAAACGAGTAACAAACGTTGATTTATTTGTCACGAAACTTCCGTATTTAGGTAACGTCACTTCTGTCGTTATTTTAACCTGAACCACCATCTTTTCTAAACCTAACTAAGTCGTTTCCTGTGAAGACGGAAGTTTATTTATAAAAAAGACCATTTACATGCAACAAGCATAAACTGGCACGTGCTGCTTGACTTTGAAAACTCAAAATCAGTGAACGTTAGCATGCTAGCATTCAGACATTAGCATTGATCTCAAAGCTCCGTTGTTTTAAAGTACAGTCTCTTTGTACTTTAACACGACTGTAGACTCTCGTCTTTATCAGTGAAACAGCCGTGATCAGTGGAATCTACAGCGGCAACTCCAGAAAGAATTACAGATGTTCCCATTGCATCTGTTCCTTCCTGATACCAGTGATTAAAAACAAAACAAATATATAAATACACACACACACACACACACACACACAACCCTCAATAGTTAGACATGAAATTAGTGGAATCAATGACACAACAATACACTATTGTTTCCACTGGACCACATTGTTTACATTGTGACACAGTGGACGTCAATACATTTTTACATTTTAAAATCTACAATGTCTCAAAGACGAGTTCCTTAAAGAGTCGGTTCACCCACATTACAGAAACATCTTCCTCCCTGACCTCCAGCTACATCCTTCTGGTTTCATGTGTCCAGCTTTTCAGATTTCCAAACACCTCAATGTGTTTTACAGTTTCATTTAAAAGCAGTTTCTTCTGACGACTCGTCGTCTTTCATCCACTGCCATTGGGAAGAACACAGATCTCCTTTTGATTTATTCATTCTGTTGTGATAACGTCTGCTGTATAATAGATGTCTCTGCTGTCCGTCCATGTGATCAAAACAACACGACTCGTGCTTACTGATCTTTTAGGAAGTCTTTTTCTTTCTTCAGATTAGTTGAACTATTTATTTCATACCTGCTCTGACCGACTCATTTCATGCTCCACCTCTCGAGCTGCCCTCTGCTGGGCTGGTAAAGCCTCGGTCTGCAGGTCATTGTCTGCTTCGGCCTGCAGCTGCGTCATCCAGCAACTGTTGTTTTCTTGGTGCTTCAAAGATTTAAAGTGAAGAAAGATCTTCATTCGTGGATCCTTCAACTGATGAAAAATGCTTCTTCTGTTTGAGTCTCTTTGTAGAAATTGTCTTTGTTCTTGAACTCTTCATATAAAAGCTGAATGAAAACGTTCTCAGACCTTTTGATCAAGAACATTTTTGAGATATTTCTAGACTTTTTCTCATTCTGTTTTTCCCTGTGAGCGTTTTTTAAGTGTAATTGAACGTAAACACGCCGTGGTTCTGATGTTTTGGTTGAGAGACACTTTCTGGTCTATTCTCTTCAGCGATCGCCATCAAAGTGTAAGTTACATTAATTTATACTCAATCAAAGGAAAGCCGATGCTTTCGAAACCAGAACATGTTTACGTTACGTTGTGGCAGAATTTTTAAACAGCATCCAACCTCAAGCTTGGAGAGCTGCAGCGTCTCCATTCTTACTCACCAAAACATAAAACCGATAGAAAACCAAAGCGATGAAAAGAGGAAACACTTCAACAACTCATCAGAGAGAAATCCTGTGTTTGAAAAGTGGAATTTAATAAGAAAACAACCCATTTCGTCCATTTCAGTTATAAGTAAGACTGAGAGAATTCAGATTTGGTTCCAAATAAAATCAGTTTGTTGTTGTTGGATATTTTGGAGGTTAAAACGGCCGTAAGAGGATAACAGATGAACATAACGGAGGTTTACTTACCGAGGAGATCTGACCCATAATTCAGTGCTGGAGCTCTATTTCATGAGCAGGTTTTTGAACTTTATCCCCCCCGAGGTCACGAGAATCAACTTTGACATTCTTTTGCTTCTGAAATTTTTTGCCGATGGTCTCCGCAACTCTGCACACGAGGCGACACGTTGGCTGCAGCCTCCAATCAATCGGTCACGCTGCTCCGAGTCCACCGGCAACAAACATTCAGAGGAGGAAGTGAGCCTGAGCTGGAGAAAAAACCCTCTCTGCAGAACGTAGAGAACGTGTTCATTGAAACGTTCAAAACAACAAAGCAGTCGTCATTATATGAGTGACTGTCTGAGCAGGTAAATCTGTCACACCTGTGTTAGCATTAGTCGTGGCTGATTGGATTGGACGCCGTCAAATCCTCCTTTAAAATATGTCCGTTACTTAAAGCAGCTTTAGAGAAGTGGGCTGAGGCGGAGGAACCTGGACAGGTGTAACTCCTCAAGCTGATCAGCAACCATGTGTGTCTGGTTTATATTGTTCCACCGTGATATATTCATTTAAAACACAGTGCGGCATCAACTTTATAAGCAAAGTGGACAGAGTCAACATGACGTCATCCAATGGTTTGTGAACTACATTTTTGAAGCCTCGAGTTTACCCGACCAAGTTGGCTTTGTTCCATCGTCATTGTGGTTTTTGTCCATCGTCATCTTGTTTTTTTCCGTCCCCATCTTCCTATTGGTCCATCACCGTCTTGGTTTCCGAACATCGCCATCTTGTGTTTTTGCGACCAGAAGTGAAACCAGAAGATGGCGCTAAGTACAACCAAAAACTAAATAAGACATTTTCAATCGACCAAAATGTGACAATTGACTTTCATGAATGACGTGGTAGAGACCTGTCAATCACCGTGTAGCCCCGCCCTAAAGCATC